GCCTTTTCCTCGCGGTCCAGGGCGCGCTCCAGCACCAATTCCGGGTACTTATTACCATCGGCTCCGCTTTGCACGTCAAGGGAGAAGTGAGTATCACTGCTGAGATCGTAGCTCTGGAGTGAATTCTTCCCTATATCCGGATCCCAAGCGTGGGGAAGGGGGAACCTCATCCCTTTAGCTGCGTTTTCACTCATTTTTATTTCTAATTCACCTTCCTGGAAATATGGGGCGTTATCATTAATGTCCCTCACTTCTACCACTACACCGTATATTTTCACTTGATCCTCCATCAGAATCTCCAGAGTTAGTTGACACTTGACGGCCCCCATACAGAGCTCCTCCCGGTCTATCCTGCCCGCGGTGACCAAGCTGCCGCTCCGCGGATTCAGGGCGAAAAGTTGTGTCCTACCTCTGGAGACGATGCGGACTCCGCGCTCCTCCAGTTCCTGAGGCTCCAACCCCAGATCCTTGGCGATGTTCCCCACCCTAGAGCCTTTCTCCAGCTCCTCGGGAACTGAATAATAGATTTGTGTGCCTCCAGTTTCCCACAGAACCCCCAGGAGAACTCCCAGCAAGACTAGCTTTTTGCAGTCCCCGTGCATTCGCGCAGGAATCATTGTCACTTTCCTTGAGTACTACTTCCAGTTCTTCCCTTGATCAGCGAAGTCCGGATCAGCTCACTCGTCCTTAAAGCCCACACTTTGGGGACCCGAGCTCCTCTGCTCAGTTTCCTCAGAGTCCGAGAGATGGTTAATTTTTCTCTGTGCTTGTGCTTCACGCGCGTGCACGGCTGGCAGGAGCGCTCTGCTCTTCTCTCGCGGTTGGTGAACAGCGGCGCTCAGAGTCCTAACCAATTACTGCACAGTCTTAAAGTCCGGGAAACCATTTTGGTTTCTAGACCTTAAATAGCTCCACCTACTGTTCTTTAAACAGGGATGAAAGTGGACCCAACTAAAACTACTGTATTCATCTTATTTGGAATTTCAGTGAACTTTTTATTCCCCTAAACTTCTCATAAACAGCCACCTTCCTGAGATTATTTTCTGTACCTGTATGTATATTCTGATTTTGCTGATGAGCTTTTACATGAAGTTTCTATACACAATAAATTTAACCAGGTAATTTTAGTACACCAGCTTTGGTATCACCCCCAACACACATACATACCTATTATGGGAATCTCCTAAGGCGGTTCATGTTTTTAGAAATTATATAACAATAATTTAAAAATTCTCACTCAACTAAAATCTGGGGCAAAAATTTTCGGTAGATTCTTAAATTTGCCTAAATGGAAGAACTACTTTAACAGGTTGTTGACATTTAGCATTTAAAAATCAGATTTTTACAATAATATGGCAACCTAAAAATAAGAAATGTGATTGCACACATTATCAGAATCACACTTGACAGGAAATCAAGTGAAGAAGACACACATTTATAGAACAAAGTAGAAGCATTCCAGAGACACTGGTTCAAGATGGCAGAGTAGAAAGACATGTGCTCACCTACTCCTTCAAGAGCACCAAAAATCACAACGAATTGCTAAGCAACCATGGATAGAAAGATGCAGAACCCACCAAAAAAGATACCCCACATCCAAAGTCAAAGGAGAAGCTGCAATGAGATGGTAGGAGGGGCACAATCATAATAAAATTAAAAAAGAAAGCATTCCAACTAGCATTTGCTGGGGATATGGGTAGGACTCTACTAATATATTTCAAAAGTATGTTTAGGATCAGTATCCTGTGAAAAACCACAATGGAAAAGAATTTGAAAAAGAATATGTATATATGAATGACTGCAGTACATAAGAAACTAACACAACACTGAAAATCAACCATACTTCAGTTAAAAAAGAGAATGTGTAGGAAAATTAGAAACCAAAATATTATAAACTCACCTTTTTCTGGGAAATGCCAAATTCCAGTTACTGACACTTACTGGTAATATATTTGGAAGCCGACCAAAATATAGGAAAAAAAAATCTCACTATTGTGCTTTCACATATGTAAATATTTATATTGTGAGGATAAGCATATTTGGCAGGTATACCGTAAATAACATCTTTAACACTGCATTGAAATCAACAGATAGCTCTGAGAGAAGGACATAAAATTTATCTGTTCAGTGGTACTCAAAGAATCCCTAGCAAATGTACCTAAATATTAGGTAGTCATTATTATGTCCTTAATTTTAAAGTTTGTATTCATTTCCCTTACACTTTGTAGTTAAAAGAGTAAAGAAAAGCCTTATATGCTAAGATATTGATGTTCTAAAAAAGAGAAATACCCACAGGAAAAAAAATTATGCTTCCATTAAAAATATGTGAATGGCAGCAGCATTATACTATCCACATCTCACAGTAAGAGAGATTTTGTGTGGGGATAATAGAATAGAAAACTCAGATAAATTGTCAAAATATTTTAAATACTTGAAGGCTAATAATAAGAGTTGCTGACCTACCCAGAAAGAAACAGAAAAAACAGAGTGGACAAACAAAAATGAAGTGATAGTGGATATAATCTGTTTAAGATTTTTTTTGTTAAATATTGGTTTAAAAACAATCCAAACCCATCTGCAGACGAAAGGCATTCATTAAACTCACTTGAATAGAAGCAACAGAGTTAAAGCTTAACTTGTTATTCTCCTCAGTGACACTTACTACCAAAGAAGCTTCATTAGAAAGATCTTGTGGGGACACCACTTCTGGCGTCAAGGTGAGAAAGTCGAACCTTGGTTTCTGAGAATCCGCAATGCACAGATTGTAGGAATAAGGCAAAGTCCCCTCACTGTAGTTGGGGAGAACCCCAGGTCCAGTCTTAGAACAGAGATCAGATTGAAAACAGCCCCAGGTGGCCAGGCTAGAGGAGCGTTGAAAGCGCAGAACGACTGCCAGAATCACTGCCAGGAGGAAGAGCACCGAGATCAAGGCCAAGGCCACCACCAGGTAAAACTGCAGCTCAGCCTGGGGGTCAGAGGGCGCGGGCCGGTCACTGAGGTCCGGCAGCGCCTCCTGCAGGCTGTCGGCGAAAACCAGGAGCAGCGTGGCGGTGGCCGAGAGGGGCGGCTGTCCCCCATCGCGCACAGCGACCAGCAGGCGCTGGCGGGCCGCGTCCCTGTCGCCCAAGGCCCGCGCCGTGCGCACCTCGCCCGTGCGCAGACCCACGCTGAACAGTCCGGGCTCGCTGGCCTGCAGCACGTGGTAGGACAGCCAGGCGTTGTGTCCAGAGTCTGCGTCCACCGCCACCACCTTGGTGACCAGGTAGCCGGGCTGCGCGGCGCGGGGCACCGTGTCGAAGAGCGCCGAGCCGTCGGGTCCCAGCGCCGGGTACAGCACCCTGGGCGCGTTGTCGTTGCGGTCGCCCACCAGCACGCGCAGGCTCACGTTGGAGCTGAGCGCGGGCGAGCCGCGGTCGCGGGCCTGCAGCGTCAGCTCGAAGGCGCGCAGCTGCTCGTAGTCGAAGGCTCGCTGCGCGAACACCACGCCGCTCTGCGGGTTCACAGACACGTAGGACGACAGCGCGCGCGGCTCCAGGTCGCTGGCCACGATGGAGTAGGAGACGTGGCCGTTTGGTCCCAGGTCTGGGTCGCGAGCGCTGACTTGGGCGATGGAGGCGCCTGGTGGATTGTTCTCTGCCACGTGGACCACATAGGAGGCCTGGTGGAAAACTGGAGCGTTGTCGTTGACATCGGTGATTCGTAGAGTGACGCTTCTGCTGAAGGAGAGGGGCGGCTTGCCCCCGTCAGTAGCTGCGATGGTGACATTGTACTCCGGGGTCTGCTCCCGGTCCAGGGCCCCATCTGTCACAAGCTTGTAGTAATTACTGGCGGAAGATTCAATTCGAAAAGGAACTTTTCCTTTTATGAGACATGTGACCTCCCCATTTTCTCCCAAATCTTTATCATGTGTTTTGAACAGAGCAATCACGGTTCCGGGTTTGGCATCCTCGGTTATGGAACTAGAGACAGAAGTGAATACCACCTCTGGGGCATTGTCGTTCTCATCTAAAATGTCCAGTATAACTTTACACTCACTGGTCATCCCTCCACCGTCCTTGGCTTCTATGCTTATGGTATAACTGCTACTAATTTCAAAGTCTATAGGACCATTGGATTTAATTTCTCCACTTTGATGATCCAGCACAAATATGTTTCCAATACCTCGCAGTGTTTTGAAGGAGTAGGTGATCTCTGCATTGATGCCCTCATCCTGGTCAGTGGCCTTCACCTTTAGAACAAAAGTGCCTGGGGGTGAGTTCTCACGCAGGCTAACTTTGTACACATCCTCACTGAACACTGGGGGGTTATCATTGGCATCAGTGACCTCGACCCTGATTTGAGTGGTGCCAGTTTGGAGGGGATCACCCCCATCCACTGCTGTCAAGACCAGAAGGTGGGAACTCTGTTGCTCCCTGTCCAGGGGCTTTTCCAGCACTAATTCTGGGACATTCTTGCCTTCAGTCTTATCCTCAAACATCAGAGAGAAATGCTCACTATAGCTCAGTTGGTAACTCTGGAGAGAGTTAGGCCCTACATCTGCATCAATAGCTGATTCCAGACCAAACCGAGTTCCTGGAATTGCTAACTCGTTGATTTGTAAAACGATGTTATCTTGGGGGAAATGAGGTGGATTGTCATTTATATCTTCTATTATCACGTTTATGTGAAAAACATTTAGAGGATTCTCTGCTACAATTTCCAAGGGTACAACACACAAAGGGTTTTGGGGACAGAGTGACTCCCGATCTATTCTGTCACTCACAAGCAAGTTCCCATTCTCCGTGTTTACAGAAAAGTATAGTTTCTCAGAACTAACTCTGAGGTTGCGGGTCAATAAATCCTGTACATGCAGCCCCAGGTCCTCGGCCAGATTCCCCACCACGGAGCCTCTGGTCATTTCTTCTGGAATAGAATAGTGGATCTGTTCCGAAAGCGCTCCGCAGAACAAAGGCAGCAAGAAAGGAAAGAGTACTTGCCGCCGCCGGGTACTGCTTCTCTGCTTCACCCTATTTCCCATTCTTCTCTGCGATGCTGCAGCCTCCGACGTGAAGAGATGGTTTGCAAACTGCGTTTAAAATATTCACACCGATCACATAGAAAACTCAACGCTCCCAGTTTGAAGACAACCCAATTGGTATTCCGGAATCAGATTTGCAGAGTAGCGAGCCTGAGAACGGGCTACTCTTCCTTCGGACTTGCTTCTGTGACTGCGCAAGAAATCACTCGGGTAGACGCGGAAAGCTAGTTCTTGCAGCGCATTGGCCAACAGCGGCGCTCGGAGTCTATTTAGCAAACTGCAGTCCGAAGCCTTGTAAATAATGGGATTCAGTATTCCAGCAGCTATGTTGAACTAATGTATGGTGAATGAGGCAGTTTAGGAGTTTTGGATGGGTCTATTTTCCAGTGTTTATTACCAAAGAGGGTGCCGTAGAGATGAGAGCCTATAGAAGAGCCATTAATCCAATAATGAGGAAAGTTTGTCTTTTTCTCATTAGAGGAAATGCACAAATTGGAAGAACAAAGGCAGTCTTCCTCCAGACTTAGAACAAAGACCACGTGGAAAAACAGCCCCACCAAGTGGTTTGGGGAAAATTTGACACCTGTGAAATGATACCCAGTATATCTTCAATCTGATATACATATGAGTTTCCTCCTTTCATCAGAGAAGGAGAGATCAGAGCTGTATACGGCATTACTCAGGGTAAGAATAGCCAATACCATAAAGTCTTCCTTGTTACTTATCAAAGAGATTTATGAAAAGAATTATGAAGTGTTTTACACTTTCATCATAAAGATAATATAAAAGTGTACCCTAGTAGGCTACTATAGGAATTTAATGACATGAAATGTGAGGGTTTTATTTTTATTCTTTTATTTAATTGTACCTTATGTTGCATCTCAACAGAACTTTATCTACCTCTAATCAAAATAACCTTCTTAATCTCAAGTGTCAAAACCAGCCTTTCCATTTTGTTCTCTAAGATCTTGGTTGCCAACTCCTAACTAGTTTAGATTATGTTTTTTAAAACTACGGAACAACCTCCCTCTCCCAGCAAAAGCCTCATATTCTTTTTATTCAACTAGTTTCCATTCAAGTAAAATGCCTTAAATCTTTTTCCTCAGTTTGGAATCTCATAGCATAAATTCTATCCTGATGATGCTCAAAACACTCAACATTTTTCTTGACTTCAAGACAAATTTAGGCATCTGTTGCAGGACTTCCCTTTCCTTACAGCTGGAATTCTTTTGCTCAAACATTAGATACTCAATTTATAGTTAATTATAGTAAGGTCAGTTCTGAAATGAGAAGGGATATCATAAAAGGAAAGGTGAATATGCAAGTAATCTGGGCCAAATATCTAGAAGTGCTGTGAGAGTACTGAGCTGAATTGTTGACTATGGAGATGATTCCTGAGATCAATACCCTAGAAAAGTTTCCTTTCCTCCGTTAACTTTCCTAGACATTGCTTCAGATAACACATTATTAGGTAACCATTAGGTTCAATAACAAGGTGGTTCTGAATGTAAGAACTGATTATGAAAAAAGTGAAAGTATTAATCATTCAGTTGTGTCTGGCTCTTTGTGTCCCCATGGACTGTAGCTTGCCAGGGTCCTCTGTCCATGGAATTCTCCAGGCAAGAATACTGGAGTGGGTAGCCATTCCATTCTCCAGAGGATCTTGCCCACTCAGGGATCAAACCCAGGTCTCTTTCATTGCAGGCAAATTCTTTACCGTCTGAGCCATCATGGAAGCCCCAAGGACTGAGTGTACTAGTATTTAATATAAAAATGAGTTTATATGAAACTAACACAATGTGGTAAATCAACTATACTTCAGTTTTAAAAATGAGCTTACACACATAGAGAATAGACTTGTCATTGCCAAGGGGGAGAAGGGGTGGAGGAGGGAAGGATTAGGAGTTTGGGATTAGCAGATGAAAACTATTATAAGGATGGATGGATAAACAACAAGGCCTACTGTATAGCACAAGGAACTATATTCAACATCCTGTGATAAACCATAATGAGAAAAAAGCATATGTATATAGTGAAAGTGAAAGTCGCTCAGTTGTGTCTGACTCTTTGAGACCCCATGTAGTATAGTCCATGGAATTCTCTAGGCCAGAATACTGGAGTAGGTAGCCTTTCCCTTCTCCAGGGGATCTTCCCAACCCAGGGGTTGAATCCAGGTCTTCCGCATTGCAGGTGGATTCTTTACCAGCTGAGCCACAAGGGAAGTCCAAGAATACTGGAGTAGGTAACCTATCCCTTCTCCAGAGGATCTTCCTGACCCAGGAATCTAACTGGGGTCTTCTGCATTGCAGGTGGATTCTTTATCAACTGAACTATGAGGGAAGCCCATATGTGTGTGTGTGTGTGTGTGTGTGTGTGTGTATTCTATAGAATGGAATCAATTTTTCTATGCAGCACAAATTAACATTGTAAATCAACCATACTTCAATAAAATGCTTTAAAGTGAGTTTGCAAAGGAAATAAAGATGAGTCCAAGGCTCCTAAGCATACTGAAAACAAACAAAAATCTCCAGAGGAATGCCAGCTAAATCAATCTCACGAAGTCTAAATACCCACTCCATCTCTTATATTCACAAAATATTCCATATGAATAAATTTTTAAAATGTAAACATGTTTAGCAGATTTGAAAATAACTTTTTGAGAAGCACTGGATCAAAATTAGGAGATCCAGGAGAATCTCCTGTAGGAGAATTTACTACATTAGAAAAATTCTTCAACAATACACAGACACTAAAGTTCAAGTAAAAGAATAAAAGGAAATAATACCAGTTCTACAATTCACCTACTTCTTCAGAACAATCTAATGATTTCACTGTATAAATAGAAAAGATGTCTAAAACTTAGGGGGGAAAATATGTTCTACATTTTCTCTCCCAAGAGAGCCTCATATTTAAAAGGGAGTCAGTATGTCTTATTTTAATGAGGCAAAGAAATGAGATAAGGTTGAAATAATCAACAGAAGCTAAACATATTGCTAGTCGCCAAAAGTCAAAAGAGAATTTTGTGCTCAGGAAAAAAAGCTGATGTGTGTAAAAGCGTATACGTGTGAGTATGTGTGTATATGTGTTATAGATGAAGAAAAAGAGCTACAGTAAGTATGCTGTTGAATCAACATGAATATTAGAAGTAAAACAAATAATTGTAGAATATAATTATAAATCTGTGGAGGCAATATAAGCTGAAATGAAATAAATAAAAATGTTTATGAATCATTAACTTGAGCACAACCAGTTTACATTGATAGCCAAATACTGATGATAGAAAAATATTACTAAAATTCAACTTAAAACCAAGCAAGCCATGATAACACAACTGGACCTCTGAAATTAAAACAAAGAGACAACAGAATCTGCCAGGACCAAAAGAAAGAAAAAAAAAAAACTGTCACAAAACCTTTCTGGAAACTAATGATAACTTGATGAAAGGTAAAGTACAGAATTTCACATGCTTTTGCTTTATACAAGAACATATGCTCCCTCCCAAACAGTTTATACAATAGGCTGGGGGGGGGGGAGTCATTTTAAAAGACCTATGCACAGACATCAACAATTGGAAGGCAGGAAATAAATCTCACCTGATTACTAGTAGGATCACATTTGCCTAAACTTGTAGCTGAATCTTCAGTTATCAAAAGAGGCTCGCTTTTCCCACAGCTCTCCTGACTGATAAGCGTGTCCGCATAGTTCGGCTGCGGGAAGATCACGTGACTCCTCCGAGAGTCCGCGGTGAGCGAGACCTCGTGCGAATAGGTCTGCAGGAAAGCCCGCACCCCGTCCACGCCCACAAACTGAGACGCCGGCACGCCAGCCAACCCGCTGCCCGAAGCCTGGAGCAGACTCGACGTATGCCAGCGCCTCAGCCTAAGCGCCAGTAGCACGATGACAAAGGCGAGGAAGACACAGGAGACCGCGGCCACCGCCACCACCAGGTAGAGTGTGAGGCCGGAGTCGTCGGAGCTGGCTGGAGATTCTAGGCTGCCTAGATCTGCCAGGACATCTGGGATACTGTCAGCCACAGCCACCGTGAGCGTGACGGTGGCCGAGAGAGGGGGCTGGCCGTGGTCCTGGACCGCCACCACTAGGCTCTGCTTGATCGCGTCTCTGTCCAGCAGCGCCCGCGCTATGCGCACCTCGCCCGTGTGCAGCCCCACCGAGAAGAGCCCTGGCTCGCTGGCCTTGAGCAGGCGGTAAGATAGCCAGGCGTTCTGTCCTGAGTCTCTGTCCACTGCCACCACCTTGGTGACCAGGTAGCCGGGCTCTGCGGAGCGGGGTGCCAGCTCCACACCCGTGGAGCCATCACTGGGGAGGGCAGGGTACAGGATTTCCGGTACATTGTCATTCTGGTCCAGCACGAATATGCTCAGTGATACGTTGCTGCTGAGTGGTGGGTTCCCACTGTCATGCGCTGTCACCCACAACTGCAGTTCATGGAACTGTTCATAGTCGAAGGAACACAGGGCATACAGGATGCCGGTGTCTGAGTTTATGGAGATGTAGGAGGATAGAGGTGCTCCCTGGAGAGTATCCTCTGCCAGAGAATAAGTGACCTGGGCATTCTCTTTGCTGTCCTGGTCAAGTGCAGTCACCGAGAAGAAGGAGGCCCCTCTGGGGTTGTTTTCCAGAATGTAGGCAGAATAAGAGGAATCCGTAAAAGTGGGTGGGTTGTCATTGTCATCTGCTACATTCAGTAAAATGTGAGTTTCTGTAGACAAGGGTGGAATTCCCTGATCTGTCGCTGTCAGTGTTATATCATAGCTCTGAACCTGCTCCCTGTCCAATGCTCTGTTTGTTATTAACTTGTAATAATTTCCATAAGTCTTTTCTAGTTTAAAAGGCAGATTATTTGGAATGAAACAGGAGACTTGACCATTTTTTCCGGAGTCTTGATCTTGCACATTTAGAAGAGCAATCACCGTACCCGGAGGAGAGTTTTCTAGCACTGAATTAGTAGAAGATGTGATAGTTATTTCTGGAGCATTATCATTCACATCCACAACTGTGACCAACATTTTAGCAGTGGTAGAGAGACCTCCACCATCTCGGGCTTGAATTTCCATCTCATAGAATCTATATTTCTCAAAATCCAAAGAACCCTGTATTAAGACATCTCCAGATAGAGAATTCAACTGGAATATTTTAGAAGCTTTGCTTTCCACATTTCGGAATGAATACACTACTTGCCCGTTGATTCCCTCATCTGGGTCAGTTGCATTCACCGTGAGCACCCGAGTTCCAGAGTTGAGGTTTTCAGGAACGCTCACTTCATATGTAGATTGCGTAAATTTGGGGATATGATCATTTACATCGAGGACCACCACGCGAACGGGAACAGTACCCTGGCGGATGGGATCTCCTCCATCTAAGGCTGTGAGGAGGAGGTGATGAGCAGCCTGTGTTTCCCGGTCCAGGCTCCCCTCCAGCACGAGCTCAGGATTCTTGGCCCCATCCGTTCTGCCTTGTACTTGCAAGGAAAAGTAACTGTTAGGATTGAGCTGGTAGCGCTGGAGGGAGTTCATTCCCACGTCTGGATCCCTAGCGTTAGGAAGAGGAAATCGCGATCCGAGAGTTGCGTGTTCACTGACTTTTATCTCTACTTCCTCCTCCTGGAAGCTAGGGGCGTTATCATTAATATCCATTATTTCCACCTCCACTCCGTAAATCTTCAGGGTATCTTCCACAAGTATCTCCATGTTTAAAAAACAGGAGGAAACCGCCTCACATAGCTCCTCCCGGTCTATCCTACCCGCGGTGATCAAGCTGCCACTTCGCGGATTTAGAGCGAAAAGCTGCGTCTTTCCTCCGGAGACGATGCGGACTCCGCGCTCCGCCAGTTCCCAGGGCTCTAGCCCCAGGTCCTTGGAAATATTGCCCACGAAGAAGCCTTTGTCTGTCTCTTCCGGCACCAAGTATCGGATTTGCCCGGCCCCCGACTCCCGCAGCGTCCCCAGGAAAATATACAGTAGGACCAGCCCGCTGCGATCCAGAAGCAGTTGCCGATTCGCCATGGCTGAGCCGATATTCCGCGGTTTCTTGAGCCTTTGATTCTGAATCAGTTTATGTATCTACGAAGTCCCTGGCCGACTACATCCAAATATATATTAGAGAGCGAAGAGAAGTACTTTTAAGTTTTCAGCATCAGGATCTGTGAGTATCCACCTCACTCGCTTTATGAGGTAGAGGTAGAGGGAGGGAGGGACTCTGTAGCTTGCAGCTTCCCGTTCCCTAATTGGTGAACAGCGGCGCCTGGAGCCCAATCTTATTATTGCAACGAGAAAGAAAAACGCAACTATTTTTCCCGTTCGGAAGTTATTACACTTCCCTCTTTGAGAATCACAAGTATTTATAAAGCATAAAATTGCAGACAATAAAGTTATGTGATATGATGTTGAAGGTTTACCAAGAGCACTTATGAAAAGAATAATTATTAAAAAGGCTTGCTGATCTTAAAAAAAATTTCAGACTACTGGAACTGAAAACTTGCAGATTAGATTTGCTTCCTTTTGGTTTTTATTGACTGAAGCGAGCAGTATTTGTGGTTGTGTAACTAGCACGGTTCCAACAAAATCATCAGTTAGGATTATGACTATAATTCTTACCAATGTTTCTTTGTTGAGTAAAATAAAGATAAAACACTGGAGAGAATGTGGATCGCATTAGAGTTGTCATTTAAAATACCACAACATAAATCTGTAACTGTATTCCATATCCTTAATTAAAACGTATTCTAGGGACTTCCCTGGTGGTCCAGTGGTTGAGACTCCATGCTTCCAATGCAAAGAGGTGCAGCTTCAATCCCTGGTCAGGGAATTAATATCCCACATGCACCGCCAAAAAAAAAAAAAAAAAAGGTATTCTATTTCATGAAAAATTTACCTGAGCCTTCTCTATATACTTTACCTTAAAATATATTTGAATAGTATAGGGTTTGCAGCATTGTAAACTTTAGTCTTAACAGTAATACCCATGGGTTTGAACTAGATTTATTTTAGGAACTTTATCAAGAGATGGAATTTAACATCTCAAAATAAGTGCTATATCAGAATATATTGGCATACTGGAATATAAAAAGTATTAAGTACTTACCTGTTTAAAAGTGTTCTTATCTGCTTCAACACTAGGAGTTAAAATGCTATCCAATAGCACTGAAGAGCTATCTTTGTTGAGAATATCTTGTGTGGCAGGACAGTGTTCAACAGATGTGAGAAAATTAAGTTCTGGATTAGTCTGATTTCCAGGCACACATAAATTATAGGCATAGGGCAATGTTCCCTCACTGTAGTTATGAGGAATCTCAGGACCAGACTTAGAACAAAGAATAGACCCAAAGAAGCTCCTGGCACTGGGGCTGGAAGAGCTTCGAAGGCGCACGGCGATGGCCAGAATCACCGCGAGGAGGAAGAGCACCGAGATCAAGGCCAAGGCCACCACCAGGTAAAACTGCAGCTCAGCCTGGGGGTCAGAGGGCGCGGGCCGGTCACTGAGGTCCGGCAGCGCCTCCTGCAGGCTGTCGGCGAAAACCAGGAGCAGCGTGGCGGTGGCCGAGAGGGGCGGCTGTCCCCCATCGCGCACAGCGACCAGCAGGCGCTGGCGGGCCGCGTCCCTGTCGCCCAAGGCCCGCGCCGTGCGCACCTCGCCCGTGCGCAGCCCCACGCTGAACAGTCCGGGCTCGCTGGCCTGCAGCACGTGGTAGGACAGCCAGGCGTTGTGTCCAGAGTCTGCGTCCACCGCCACCACCTTGGTGACCAGGTAGCCGGGCTGCGCGGCGCGGGGCACCGTGTCGAAGAGCGCCGAGCCGTCGGGTCCCAGCGCCGGGTACAGCACCCTGGGCGCGTTGTCGTTGCGGTCGCCCACCAGCACGCGCAGGCTCACGTTGGCACTGAGCGCGGGCGAGCCGTGGTCGCGGGCCTGTACCGTCAGCTCGAAGGCGCGCAGCTGCTCGTGGTCGAAGGCGCGCTGCGCGAACACCACGCCGCTCTGCGGGTTCACGGACACGTAGGACGACAGCGCGCGCGGCTCCAGGTCGCTGGCCACGATGGAGTAGGAGACGTGGCCGTTGGGTCCCAGGTCTGGGTCGCGAGCGCTGACTTGGGCGATGGAAGCGCCTGGTGGGTTGTTCTCTGCCACGTGGACCACATAGGAGACCTGGTGGAAAACCGGAGCGTTGTCGTTGACATCAGTGATGCGTAGGGTAATGGTAGTGCTGGAGGAGAGGGGTGGCTTGCCCCGGTCAATGGCTGTGATAGTGACGTTATATTGCGGAGTCCGTTCTCTGTCCAGGGCCCCATCTGTTACTAGCTTGTAGTAATTATTAGAAGAAGAATGAATTTTAAACGGAATGTCTCTACTTAAATTACACGTGACGTCTCCATTTTCCTTGGAATCCTGGTCCCGTGTTTTGAAGAGAGCCACAACCATTCCTGGCGGGGAATCCTCTAAAATCTGATCTGAAAGAGAAGTGATGATTATTTCTGGGCTGTTGTCATTTTCGTCCAAAACCTCTATAATTACTTTACACCGTGTAGAGAGGGATCCTCTGTCCTTTGCTTCCACAACCATGGCGTATCTTCCGACATTTTCATAATCCAAGGGTTGATGAGTTATGATGTTTCCTGTAGCAGAATCCAGAGAGAACACGTGCCGGGCTGTATCAGCCACACCAAGGAATGAGTAGGTGATCTCTGCATTGACGCCTTCGTCTTGATCGGTAGCGCTCACCCTAAGCACGAAGGTGCCTGGGGGCACATCTTCCCGAAGGCTGACCTTGTACACATCTTGGCTGAACACAGGGGGATTATCGTTGGCATCCACCACCAGGACTTGGATCTGAGCTGTGCCGCTTTGCGGCGGATCCCCGCTGTCTAAGGCCGTCAGCACCAAATGGTGAACGCTCTGCGTTTCTCGGTCCAGGGCCTTCTTCAATACCAGTTCTGGATATCTGCCCCCGTCAGGATTGTCTTTCACCACTAAGGAGAAATACTCATTAGGACTTAGTTGGTATTTGCTCAGTGAATTCATACTAATATCGGGATCATTTGCAGGCTCAAGAATTGTTCCAGTCCCCGGGCTGACAGATTCACTAATTTCTAAGAATATTTCATCCTTATGGAATTGAGGAGCATGGTCATTAATATCTTCAACAACCACAATGATATGAAAAATATTTAAAGGATTTTCCACCACGGCTTCCAACTGCAATTCACATCTTCTCTCTTTGCATATCTGCTCACGGTCTATTCGGTCCTTCACAAGTAAGTCCCCGCTCTCCGCGTCTACGTTGAAGAGCAGCTTCTCCGCACTAACTCGCAGCTTTCGAGCCGACACATCCAGAACACTGAGCCCTAGATCCCTGGCGAGATTCCCTACCACGGAGCCCTTGGCCAGCTCCTCGGGAATCGAGTAGCGGATCTGCTCGCAGAGCGCGGGGTAGAACAAAGGCAGCAGGAAGAGAAACAGTACCTGCCTCCGGTCAGCCGGACGTGTCTGCGTGCAGCTCCCTCCCATTGCGCGCTCTAGTTCTTGCTGGGTCCCAGTCTTTCTAGTTGGAGAAAGTGCACATGGCACACTGGTAAATCATTTGGCCCAGGACAGGCGGAACCCCAGTCTAGGGGCTGGGAATCCTTGTGTGCTAGGGAGAATCTGCGCGTCCAGGAGCCCCAGTGTATAAGCGGGTTTCCTTCTCTCTGTGTTGGCTGCGCAGGAAATCCCTGCCTAGAGGCTGAGGAATCCCGGGCTTCAGAGCTTGCCCTGCACTGGCCGACAGCGGCGCCCAGAGGCTTCGTGTGGAACCGCAGCTTACGTTTTCTGCTTTATTTCAGAAAGTCTTTCTTTAAAGACAAGATGACCGCAGCTAAAATATTTGAAACATATTCCTCCGGTGATTCTGTTTTCTTCATGAAACTTTTTTTTCACATGGTCAAAACTATTATATACTGGGTTGACCAAAAGTTTGTAACATTTACGGAAAAACCTGAATGAACTTTTTGGCTAAACCAATATTTTATATGATAAAATTTTACATAGATTTTGAACAGGGTGAAATAGTTCTTTAAAAAGTCTAAAAGGCACAGAAGAATGCAGAATGCAAAATAGGTCTTCTATTCCATCACCTACTGCTATCCAGTTCTATCAAAAGACAATCACAGTAGATTCTTTTAAGAGTAATCTACAAAGGAAAGTACTAAAGATAAGCATAAAAATTATTTTTGGTCTTCAATCTAGGCTTAATCCATCCCACCATATTTAATAACTAGAATACAACCATTTTAGTATTCATTACAGTCATCTAAGGTGTCCTATATTTCTTTTAAATAATTATATTTCAACATATTTGCTAACAATAGCTACCATGCCAAAAGAGTAGGTTTTTTTTAAACCTGTGTTTTTTCAAAATAATTATTTGAAATATATGCAGAACAATTTTGATTCTCGTGGTCAGAAATGTAAAAGATTCAGTTATTTGGAAGTTAAAAAATAAAAGTTATTGTCTATAACTCCAAAGATAATAAGTTTGCTCTTTTCCACAGACATATCCTTGAACAAAAGTTGAATGACATGAGAAAAAAGTCATGGTTTCATAAACACTTTGAAACACATTAGGGCATGATTTGACTTTATGCTACCATATTAGTTTAGAAGAATATTAATAATAAATTAATTGAATAGTAAGAGATCAAACCAAATACATCACTATCATAACTTTAAATGGACTCATCAGTAATTCCACTGACCATCTGTTTAGAATTCTGTGTACTTCTCTGCTTGATTCATCTCTCATGCAGAAATGACTTTTTTTAAACTTTAAGTTTATTTTGACTGTAAATTTCAGAGTTTTCAGTTTCAGGTGGATCTTCCATTCTCTCTATAGTCACTGAAATGACTTTGGCATACATCTTTGCTCCTGTACTTGGGAACATGTACCAGTCTATCTCCCCAAATTATATATATATAATATATATATTTGTTTATTTATAAACATATAAATATATATATATATATATATATATATTTCAGTCTTAGAGATTGGAGAATTTAACAAAAAAGTGCAGAGAAAGCAGAACCTCAAGTCTGCTTAACATAATACCTTTTATCAGTTCTCTGGAGTCCCTATAGAACAAGGGAAGTAAAGTTAAAATGGTATATCTTCCACATGACAGTATGAAATTAGAATCACAGGCAAAATGGATGCTGCAGTGTTACCAGGTATGATTATACTTCAAAAATTTAAGCACATATTGTTATGAATTGTTAATGGAATCTTACTGAAAATGGGCAGGATTTCCAGTAAGGCTAATGCATTTGTTTCTGACATTTACCTACTCTTACCAGGCCTGACTTCATAACGAGAGGCAGGGTTGTCTAAGGATTTCAGCATATAGCCACCAGGAGAACACACAAATTGACAAGACGCTTCTGTATGAAAGTCCGCTCTTAGGAACTGCCAGTGTTATGTGCAACAAAACTATAAAACACAAGACTCTGCGAAGCTGATCATAGCAGCCTATGACAAGAAACCTTCACTGGGATTAAGTGAATATTTACCAGAAAGTAAAAACATATCAGCCTTAATTACCATCAAGTAATTAATGGTTATTCTTAATTCTTAATTAATCCTTAATTCTATCCCTCAATGTTTTAGCAAGAAGCCAATGTCATTGAAATGGAGGGAAAAGTGAAAAAATTAGGATCCCACCATCATGCTGCAAACCTAACAGTAAAACTAATAATTCTTAAAAGTGAGAAAAGGAGCAAAAACAGAACTCACTGGCACCAAAGGGGTATCTTCTATAGGAAACT